ACCTCGGCGGTCTCGCCCTTTTTTATTGGGCGGTGGTGAGGAAACGGCAGGTAAATCAGATGAAGATTACACCTCAGATAGTTTTATGACAGAGCCAGGAGTCCCATCAGGGAGGAATTTCTAGCGTGGTCAGCAGCATATGAATGGTGGGGGACATAGTCTGGAATTAGGGCTGTAATTTAAAGCACTCTAATTACAACAATCACTTACATCCAGGCTTTTACTTGTCGCAATGTAATACGATTAGCAATGCAAGTCGATAGCTTCTGTACCCGTTTTCAAATATGGTGTAGTTTTATGTGAAATTTGAACACAATGGTCATTATGGTCAGGGATGTAGAGAGCTTTTTTTTATAAGGTATTAACCCAACAAAGCTTACTGTGTCATATTTGACATGGAATTTCTAAGGCCTCGAAGTTATCAACATGATCAAAACTTTGCTGATAAACCTGTTATACTACATGTCTCCTGTCTGATTTATAGTTTATACTTTTTTTTAGCTAAAGGCCAATCTGGCATAATTTTAAAATTATCCCACTTCGGGTCATGGTGCATGTCTTTTTGCTGTGAAATCTTTACTGATATCTGTGAAGTAAACCTTCAAGTAACTTTTATATTGATAGTTATATGTTAAAGGACAAGTTCGGTATTTTACACTTAAAGCCCTGTTTTAAGATTGTGCTAGCACAGCTGCGGCACACCAATCTTGAGTTTGAACCACGGTAGTATGGTACGCGCTGTGCAAGAGAGGGGTGTGATATTCTCATATTCTACTGTCAGAACATAACAGTTTTAACAAATTTGTAAAAAATATATATATTTTTTTTTTTACAAAAGTTACCTACAGCAGCTTTAAGATTGAAATTTGGACACATGCTGCTGGCCTGAGAATTTTCGGTTTCTGTGGTTGCACCCCCTCACCTCCACAATGGTTGCATAGATGCACTGGATCAATCCTCAACAATCCAAAAATCGCTGCAAAAGATGCTTTCCAACAGGTTTTATTGTATTTTTTGTCCAACTCCATTGACTTGTATTTGATGTGCTGTGAGGCGATACCAACTGTGCTGGAGTGTCTGTTATTCAAGCTCTCGACAGAAAGAATGTACGGGTGTGAGGTGTTTGGAAAAATAGGTCCACAGTTTTACAACGAATGGTAAAACACCTGTTGGAAAGCATCTATTGCAACGATTTTTGTGTGAGGTTATCGGTGAGTTTCACGGCTTTGTAAACTAAAGTTTAATGCGTTTTAGGAAGGATTGTTCCAGTGCACCTATGCAACCATTGTGGAGGTTGGAGGGTGCAACCACAGAAACTGAAAATTCTCGGGCCAGCAGCATGTGTCCAAATTTTAATCTTAACCGTTCTATTTCATCAGAAACGATCTTAAAACAGGGCTTTAATTGTAAAATACCGAACTTGTCCTTTAAATATCATCTCACTAAGACATATTAGGAGATATACATATTATTAAGAGATGTAGTGGCAATCAACTAATATTTATATATGCATATGCAGTAGTCACATTTACAAAGCTATCACAATTTCATCTTGCTTGGGCCATATACATCAGCAACTGCACCAAAATGCATATTTTTGATAACTTTAAAATACTATTTCCTCTAGTATGAGCTCCATAAGCACATCTTATATGTCATATGAGCCATTATATTATATTATATTATATACGTATATATTACATCTTTTCCGTTTAAAAAAAAAAAGTTTTTCAGACAATTATTTCATATGTCAGGCTTTAGAAGGTTAAAGCCTGTCTGTAATTTATGAATTACGTTATTTCAAAAGTCATAGTTAAAGTAAAAGTTTCTTTCCTGACTGTTTTACGTTAATTTGAGTTTGATATGGGCATGCATGTGTGTGTGTGTGTGTGTGTCAGCCTGTGGGGCATGAAGCATGGTGTAGATCCATCGCATTGTCCCATTCTCCTGCTTTTCCCCAACAGGGCCTAGTGTAACCTTCAGCCCTACAGGGGAGAGGCTTGTAAATTACCACTGGAGTTTTCCCCCTCACCCCTGCTGTCATCATTTCATTAACCCCATCCTGATCTCCTCCGACCTTGACTGCTTGCTTTCACTCACAGGGGAATGGTCTCTCTCTCTCTATCCTGCTTTCTCTTACTTTGTGCCAAACTGTGTTGAGCTGCAGCCAGTACATATGTCACCCTCAGAACCATGGGCTTTTAGCTAATGGTATCGTGCGATTTTATGGGAAAATGTATCAATTGCTCAGATGTGACTTTGTCACAGATGCCATATAAACATCAAAATGAACCCATCGACTGTAAAAAGGGCGGCTGGACTTACTGTGAACAATTCATCTGCATTTTATTCTGAAGAAAATGATCGTTTTCTTGCACTGATCGACCGGCCAGTGACCGGAATCAGACGATTTTCCGCATGATTGGCCCGGACTGGTGAACGGCCAGTCAGTCTCACGTCCTTCCGATTCTGAGCTGGTCCGTTTTGTTGCCAGAGGCACAGGCAATGACGTCAGCTGCATCTCTCTCTTCTCTCCAATGGGGAAGTGATACACTCCCTCATCCTCTCACTTTTTCTCATTCGCTCTGGTTAAATAGTGCTTGTATCCCAGCAAACACAGAATGGTCCCATGAGGTTATTTTTTCAAACAAGAACGTTATAGGAACGTTCCATGTAGGTTATTTTTAGGTTCCATTTTTATAACGTAAGGAGAATGTTCTGGGAACGTTCCCTTAAGGGAAAGTTCTAGGAACGTTCTGGGAACCAAAGACTAACGTTCCCAGAACCTAAATTTGTTTCCTGGGATTGTGCATCATTTTACTAAGCTATTTCCCACAGGTTTCGCACTCGCATCATTAGTGCACACACTACTGATCTATATAAGTGGCATGCACATAAACAGCGTGTGAGTAGTACCATAATGACTGCTCACAAAATAGTCAAAATGCCCGTCTTGGCAAGTATGCAGTTAAACAATCAGTTTTGGAACTACTCAAATTGCAGCTTTTTTGTTTCTTACAATTTATACATTTGTGAATTTCTGTCATGGTTGTTCTTTTCCATAATATTGAATGTGGCAACAATCGGTACTGGCAAGTAACACCAAGAAATCAGTTCATATATAGTTTGTTTTCATGTTCTTGGCTCACGCTTCCACTGAATCAACTTTCCCTTTTACACTGAAGTCACTTTGGCCATTCAGGCAATTTAATAGTTTACTAGTTATCGAAAAGATATTATGGCATTGATTTAACAAACTCTCGTTTGGTCTTCCTTCATTCTAGTGCAGTGTTTTTTTTTTTTTTAACTTGGGGGCCTGGGTCACTATAGGGGGCCTCAGCAAATGTCCAGGGGGGTCCCAATAAGTCTGAAAATTATTACATTCAGTTATAATAACAATCTTAATTAAAATGCTAAAAACAAAACACTTTAAGATGTACAACATTAAACTTGCATCATTGAGTTTATTCAGCCTATAACAGAAGTGCCAGGGGAACATATAGCAGACTGGAATATTTAAATATTGTCTTGGACAAATGGGGCATTGAAGTAAAAATTGAGAACCACTGTTCTAGTACATAATGTCCACATTACAGTCTATTCTCAGTGGATATCATGCACTGCTCCCTACAGACTGAGCCGGGGATATTTCAATAGGAGCAGCTTCATTTTACACTTTGCTTTTATTTAATGACTGAATTGAACTGGGATTAGTGAGATAAAAAAAAGAATTATTTTATTTGGCATGGATGCATTAAAACAAAAACAAAAAAACTATTTCATATAGCCTAAATGCTGTTAATTTCACAATATTACTGTATTTTTTTATCAAACAAAAACATTTTTTAAATCATACCAATCTCAAACTTTTGAACAGTAGTAAATGATCTATAAAATACTAAAATGTCTGTGTATTTACAAGAATGCATAGTAGTAGTAGTATTAGTAGTAGTAGTAGTATCAATTTTACACTAATATTAGTCATAGTGTTTGTCATATGCCATGTATTTAATGATAACTGTTTAACAATAATGACACTAAATGTTTTTGATTACTTAGCAGTAAAACTCAAACTATTGTATATCCTAACCCACCATCATGGCATTGTAATGTATTTTGTGCACTTTAACCATGCTCAAATGCCAAGTAACTGCTCTTAAGGGCCAATTAAGCTGAAAAATAATAATGCCATCCTTGAAAAATAATAATGCCTCTCTTCATCATATTTAGTTTACTCTCTTCATATAGTCATAAGGTGGTGTGTGTAATGTATGATGAGTTAATTTTACTGTATTTACTTGTTTCCTCTAATCCAGTGGTTCTCAACTCCAGTCCTCGGGACCCACTGTTTTGCATATTGTGTATGTCTCCCTTATTTAAGAAACCTGATTCAGATCCTCAGTTCGTTAGGATAAACTCTATGAACTGAATAAGAGATAAGAGAATCAGATAAGAGAGACATACAAAATTTGCAGTTGAGAACCACTGCTCTAATCCATTTACTATATTATGCTTCCAACAGTACTATATGGAATGGCACTCGACTGGTGTATCTATCAGGTGTTAATACACGACCCCCCAGAGACCCTGTCTTTTGCGGTATGCAGCTGAAAACCATAATTCTGTTTACCCCATCCTCATCCTATCTAAACAGCACAAAAACTGGAAGCAGGTCTGAGTGTAAATGTGAGAGATCTTGCTGATGCTGCTAACTTTCTGCCCGCAGCTGTGGCATCCAACCCTCCTTCGTTCCTTCAGAATTTATGCACTCACTCAGCAATGTTATTACAAGTCAGAGTTTATTGGGAAATTGTTACATTATGTGAAGTGTCTAACAAATTGCTTATGCTCCTGTAATTGGGTTACAACAGTCGTGCTCTCCCATTGGTGAGATTAGGCAGGCTGGGCTCCCACCGATCTCACAACCCAAGCAGTAATTTTATTTGTCTTGCCTCGCTTTCCCTCTCCTAACAACATGGCTTTCTCTGCCTCCTTGCCAGATGTCTGTTTGAAGGAGCGGGCTTGTTTTTTGGCCCCTGACAACGCAATTACAGCCCCGCCGATTGTCGTGTGTGTGCATTAAGTACCTCCCCCAGAACGAGGCCGATTAATGAAGGGGCTCCTCAGGGGCCGAAGAAGAAGCCCCAGGCACCCACACACAGGAGAGGAACTGTTGTTAGGGGTCAGGCTGATACACATGCTCCAAATGAATGCAGGTGTGTATTTGTGTGTGTGTTACAAAGTAGATTATATAGTATCGCTTGACTACAGGATACTGGATGCTACACTACTACAAGTTTTGTATCAATGAAGAAGAGGCATTTCTATCAGCAATGATGTGTTAACCTCATATGATTTTTTTTAAATTCATTAATTTTTTAAATACAAAAAATACAGCTCTGGAAAAAATAGTAGTTTCTCTGCATTTACCATTTATATCTATGTGTTTGAGTAAAATGAAAATTTGTTTCATTCTATAAACGACTGCAACATTTCTTCATAATTTCAAATAAAAACAAACATCATTTAGAGCGTTTATTTTTAGAAGATGACAACTGGTCAAAATAACAAGAAAGATGCCATGTTTTCAGACCTCGAATAATCCAAAGAAAACAAGTTTATAGAAGAGTTAAAGGAACATTTCACCCATGGAAACATTAATTTTTAAAATTCAATTGAAAGCAGGTCAAATATGTAGTCAAAATGTATAATAATTTTTGAATTTGGTGCCTTCTTGACCAAGGAAAGACAGAAAGTAACTTTAGAGCACATTTGTATGAAACACAACAACTCCCACAATGCACCACATTGCAAAGCTCTGCAAGCCACTCCCACTAAACCAGAACAGCACCTACATGTATGAGGTATCAGCCTATCAGAGAAATCACTCTTCCGTCTACAAGGCTTGCTCCCACCAGAGCTTGAAATTCATTTCACACAACATTTCTAGTTAGTTGGCAAACTCATTAGTGAATTACTCCTCGTTTGTATTTCTTTCGAAATGTTGAACTATTGCATGATACCGGGATGTTCAGCCAGAACATATGTGGTGCGATACTCGGATGGTTCACAATACAAAAGTCCATGTACTTTTTTGATTCAGAGATTTCGTCCAGGAGAAATTGCCATCGTTTAAATTTTTTGAAGCCGGCGGACTCTATCTCTGTGTCCGTTGGCACACAGTGAGAGCACAGGCACCACCAGTCCGCCCCAGCTTAAGCCAGTCCGGGCTCCCCAGCTACAGGCAGCCGCCTCCTGTTCCTCCCTCAGCCTCAGCTGCGCTATATTGTGGTTCATAAAAGTAGCCAAACATGTGATTCGAGCGTCAGACTTTCAAAATCCTCTTCTTCCATATCGTATTGAGTTCACATTTCGCCATTGTCATAACTTCACATCTGGCTCCACAACGCTTGTTAGCTTATGCTGCGTTCATGTGCTATGGTAAATACCAAAAGCAGACGTGGAAAATGCACATGAACACCACCCCATGTGGTATTTACCACTGGGCAACTCGTAGAATATTTTGATGGACGAGTTGAGATAACCTTTGACCATTTTTGAGCACCGCAAGAGTCGTGAATGGGAAAAAAAATATATACTATTCATGATCTAGAAAATATACAGCATATTATTTACCTTTTGAGTTTTGATAAATTATTATTATTATTATTATTTGCTGTTGCAGATGACTTAAGCAATCTAAAATAGTTTTAGCTAAATAACAGGTCTGGATCTCCATCTTTTTACCACATTACGACAACAAAAGCACTTGAACGCCATACACTGGTAAATACCAGTTCACAAGTGGAAACTATCCTATTTTCCATAGCACGTGAACGCAGCATTAGTTTCCAAACAAGATGGAGGATATTGTTTTTAGTTCCTGCAAGTGAATGCCACCCACTAATCTGTAATAGGTCTATAATGTGAGTAGATCCCACCCCCTGGAAAAATAAGGAACTAGTGTTTGTAGTCTCAACCCCTCTACAAAGATATGGGATCCTGCTAAAATAATGCAAAATGATGATTTGTACATCATTATAAGCAGGAACTGCAACACTGAAAATTAGGGAATAATGCACAGCCATTCAAAAAATATGACTGGGTTTTTGGAGTGAATTTATTTTATTACCATGTTGTTTTAACTCCATGCTCTAGCAGTTGAGTTACAGGAACACAATAAGTCTGTAGTTATGCACTGATTTTTTTTTTGTAGGCAAATTGTACTAAGCAGGTCAGTTTCTTCTATATATAAAAACAAAATAAAGAGAATCGATCCTGTCCGTAAGGTATATGAAGACTGAAAATGGCTTAATTTTTATAATGTACCCCTGACAAGAGATTATCCAACATAGTAATGGCAAATCAATAGGGACTTAAGTTGTCAGGAGAAACAGATAACATACTAAAAGGGATTGATTAGATGAATTTTCTCATTTTATGAGAAAGTCTATACCAAAGGTAGCTGAAAAGCTTGTTAAATAGAGGGCATACTTATCCTTGCAGAAAAATATATATTAAAGAGCTGAAGGCAGGGAAGAGAGAGACTGAAGGGAAGAAACTGCTGACCTGTGCTTTTTTGTCTGACGTTGAGCTGATTTATAACGATGGATAAGCTTTGTCTAAAGGGGGAGTGAACGATGTCTCCATGTAAATGATCTTAAATGAGCTATCACAGGCTGTTGTCGCAGCGGGAGCTCTTGCAGTGTGGAAACGGCTGAAGCATCATGGGATTTTTTAGTCCTTTAAAACACAAGGAAATTTCTGATCATCTTAGGCTTTTCTTTACACATCTTGTTCTACATTTAAGGCCATTTAAGCAAAAACAAAGCAATTGTTTTTGTTGAAAGTAGGATGTTTAAAATGGTAATCAGCTTAGGTTCTTGTGTTTTTGTCATTTTTGAAAATACTCTAATGTAAAAGCACAGAGCCTAATGCATAATTTAAGACGTAGCGTCATGATGTAATCATTGCAATATCATAATTATACACACAATAACACGCTCTGCTGAGGAATAGTGCATTTACGGTATCTTTTTCTGCTGAAAGCTGAACAGCTGTGTTTCTGAAGTGCTTTATGTGTAAATATCTTGGGAATATGGGTGTCAACAACTGCCACCAAAACACGCAACCACTGATTGTATTTGGATGCACAGATGTTTATATCCTTATGTGCAGGGTTCTTATTTCAATGAAGCAGTGAGAACTGTGGGTGCTATTTGAGCATTTCAGAAAGAAAGCTACTTAATAGAGGAAGGTTTGCTTGAGGACTAAGGTTTGGCTTTCTCTGGTCCACTGGCAGTAATATAATATATAATATATACATTATTTGGTGCTGTTGTAGCACTCTTTAGAAGATGTGAGCTGTTCAGTCATAAACATATCTCCCTTTATTGTTCTCAGTATAGTGAATAGATTGTGGTATTTGGGTGACATCTGGTCCCTGACTGTTCAAAGTGTAGCAGCTGTTGCTCCCCATGATGACGTTCATCTTCCTCACAGCCATGTGACACTTTAAATGTTCTTGTCTCCACTCCAGATTCTCAAAAACTCTTTGAGCTGTCACTTACCAAGTCTGTATCTCAGGAAGTGCTTTGACCTTTTTTATTGGGTCAGAAATCAAGTAGGCTGCTCTTTAGTCTTAGAGAAGAATACATAGTTAACTCATGTTTTTGTGTATAATGCTTATTCTGCCATTTTAGAGGTCAACTCTTTTGGTTTAGATGTTGAATAGTAAATCTAGAACCAGTTCTTATTCAGAAATATAAAATCTGGAACCAGAAATATAAAATCTGGAATCTTACTTTTATAAAGTGGCATTCTATCACCTCTATACTAAAATACTCTTTCCTGCACTGTTTGAATCTGCAAAACAATTGTTTAAACTGACTTTTGATAATACAAGTCTGAATGTGATCTGACACAAAACAAACCAAGAATTATTACTGTTTTATGTTGTACTTTGGTATGCTTTACAGTAAATCCATTAAATACATATTATTTACATAATATATATTATTTATATAGCTATACACAACTCCGTTTCTAATGTGTATTTTTAAACTCGTATACTTTTCAAAAGTTTCAGTCTGTATTTTTATGCTCTCCAAATATATATTTTTAATGCTTTTATTTAATCAACAACACAGTAAAAACAGTTGTGAAAATATTCTTAAATATTTAAGATTTTATTATTTAAAATAATAGTTATTATAATAGTCACCATAGTTTTTAATATAAATCTATTTTAATATATACAAGTGTTTTTGTGCTTAAGAAACATTTATTGTTTGACGAATGTTCAAAATAACAGCATTTATTTTAAATACACATTTTTTTAACAAGTCTTTGCTTTCACTGTGGATTATTTTACTCAATCTTTGCTGAATATACAGTATAATATTTAACACAGAAAAATGTTTTATTTATTTACGTCAATAAATATACTATAAACACTTTAGGAAAGTTATTCTGAAATGTACTATTAAAAAATGTAATAGTATTGTCAAATATGGTTTAATCATAGTTATAATGGTTCCTCAAAAGAATTTAGAATTGTTCAGGAATAATTAAATCCACAATTGTTAGTAAATAATAATAATTCAGTGTTCAAGTGCTTTTGTTGTTGTTCTTTTGAAGATAGCTGGAAATGGAGTGTTTTATGAAGTGTTCCTTCCACTGAAGGGCTTGATCAATAGTCTCCATATTGTGAAAACCTGGTGCTGATTTCTCACTATTGTTCGCCATCCCTCCTCCAGCAGATCCTTTCTCTCTTTATGAACTATGTGATGAGGAGACACACGCTGCTCACTTCATTTCAACAGGGCTGACTGTCAACCTCAACAAAAGAGTCTGACCCCTGCGCCGCCTTCTCTCCACAGATCAGGGCAATTCCCCATGCAAATGTCTTGTGCCCAGCCTTGTGCGTCTCCCCAGCGCCTTTTACAAATCCAGCTTTGACTGATTATGTCCTGACAGCTCCAATGTTGGCTCACTTACACAGATTGACATAATCATTAGGGGGTGGGCTGACCCAGACTCAAAGCGCCTGGTTTTATCTGTTTGAAATTGGCCCCTCCCACTTCTTCGCCCCATTCTTTTCTAAAGCAGCTGAGGCTCTCACACTCTCGCACAAAAAAGAGGCAGAACCCCTCGGTCCTTTCCTGCCCACCCCTAGCATTCATCATCCTGAAGTTAATTGGTGTGGGCTTTAAGC